ATTCATCTCGCAATCACCTCGATACATCTCACATCACCTGGCATCATTTCACCTCACCAAGACTCATACTCGCCTCACCTTGCGTCAACGCTCAACCCTCATCTCACATACAACACCTCGCCTCATCTCGCCTCACCTAGCCTCATGTAGCCTCACCTCGCCTCATGCTGGCCTCACCTCGCCTCACCTCGCCTCATCTCGCCTCATCTCGCCTCATCTCTCGCCTCATATCTCGCCTCATCTCGCCCCCCACCTCGCCCCTCACACCTCGCCTCATCTCGCCTCATCCTCACCCCATTTTTTCTTTTCTAGATGCATGACCCGAGATGACCCGAGATCGACCCGAGATCGACCCGAGATCGACCCGAGATCGATCCGAGATCGACCCGAGATCGACCCGAGATCGGCACGAGCGATCAACCCAACAATGCCCCAAAGCCCCCTCTCTGGGGGACCCCCCCTCACCCCGAGTGTCCGTGTCCTTCGCGAGTCACCGATGGGGAGCGGGGGGGGGTGCGAGATGCACAGGGGAGGCTGGGGAGGGGGGGGTCCACTCTGAAGACTGCCGACCGCGGGGGGGTTTTGTCCCACAGGGTTTTACCCTCCGCGTGAGGATCGGCGCGGCGAGGGGGTAGGTTCGAATTCGCCGCGCAACATTTCACCCCCACAGGACCCCGCCCACCCCCCCTCATGGTCCCACCTAGTACCCCAATGAGCCTTCGCACCCCCTCCTTGCGCAGTGTCCCCCACTACAGTTCCGGACGGGCATTAAGAACGCACAGGTTCTTCGCCCAGCCTCAGGTTCTTAGCTAAGTCGGCGGTCCGTCGGGGGCCGAGCCTCAGGTTCTTAACCGGGTGGATGGTTTTTTAAACCGTTTCGGCTTCGATTAAAAATCAATAAATGGGTCTTAAAACAGTTTGGAAGTTTGGAACAGTAAGTTCGCGCATGGCGTGACAAGAGAGTCATTCGCTGCCGTGAGCTGCCCCTGCGGCTGCGGCCGCGGGGGCAGGGGCGCCGGCTGCAGGCGTTGGCCCAGCCTCAGGTTCTTAGGGAGTTCTTAGGGATCCGGCCGAAATATGAGCCTCAGGTTCTTAACGTTAGAGGTTCTTAATGCCCGTCCGGAACTGTATGTGTCGCCGTTATCGGGGCATGCTATCCTGTGTAGTCAGGGCAAGTGGGGGCGGGGGGCACTCCCCCTGGTCTGATACTGGGGTGTGACTGTCTCCAGTCTCGGAGGGGGGCTTGAAGCTAAGAATATTTTATTTTTCGAGTCTATCGAGCTCCCCTCGCGCAAGGACCACATTTCTGACTCCCACTCCGATCATTGCGGTGTGGGTCTCGAGCGTCGCCGGCGCACTTGGAGCACTTGGAGTGCAGTCATTAACCTCACATCCAGGGCCGGGGAGCTCAGAAGCGCACCCAGCGGGCCGGATGATCGGGATCGGGTTACGGGCTAGAGAGCCCTAGCCCCGGGGGTGCGCGTTCGCAGGGCAAGGGCCTTAAAATAAACACGGGTCTCCGAGGGTTAGCCCCGCGTACCGGGTTTCCCCTTAACTGCAGGACGCCCCCTCTACTCGGAGCTAATGAACACCATACTGCACGCCCCACACCACCACTCTACACTCACTTGCGTCGGCGCGCGATATTTTGTCATTTCCCGCCGGCGCGAGACGCGTGCGCAAGCAACTGGGCATGCCGACCTCTCGCGAGGCAGGTGCGAACGACATTGGGTCTGGCAGACGGTCGTTTGCCGATGCGGCAACTTGGAGCCTTTCGCAGTTTCCGAAGGCGAATCCGCTTGCTTACGCTGCATGGAACGCTGCGGCCTGCTGCTGGCAGTCGTCCAGCCCTGCAGAAGTCACTCGCGACGACTTTGTCGCCCAGGCTATGATGATGCTTGCCTCAAAACGTGCAGACGACGGGTGGAGCCGCCTGAAAGCGGTGCAGCAGCTCTCCGTGTGGGGCGGGCCCAAGCCCCAGTCAACGCTGCCCAACCTGTGGGCCGAGCGTATCAAGCAGGCGAAGTGGGCGGGGCTCCTCGGCAAAGAGGGCAAGAAGCTCAACCACCAGGACAACTATTGGGCCTTCAATCGGTTCTACGGCCACAACTCTTTTCTGATGCCAAAAGATGTCGGCATCTGGAAGCGAAGCAGCTCAACGAACGCGGAGCTGCACTGGCTCGCAGAGGAGGCCTGTGTGCAGTGGGCCAAAGCGCAGCCCCCGGAACTCGTCGCGAAGGCTGGCGGCGACTTCTCGTCGTGGGTGGTCCTTATCCGCGAGGCGCAGGGTGCTGCCGCCGCTTCTCCCGCCCTACAGAGTCTGCAAAGTCAGCAAGGCGCAGCCTCAGAGGTGAAGTCGACGGTCAAGATCAAGCAGGAGGTGGACGCTAACGCGGTGGTCAAGCCGGAGCTGCAGGATCATGAGGCGACGGGTGGTTCGGCGAGGGCGGTGGAGGATGTGCCGTTCGACGTGGAGGACTCCTTCTGGGCGGCGCTCGACACGGCCGTGGCAGCTAAGGGAAAGCGCGTCGAGTGTTGGTGGCACGGCGACAAGTGCTTCTTTGCTGGCACGGTGTCCAGGGTTGAGCTGCTTCCTACGGGAGTCCGCTTCTACATCAACTACGATGACGGCGACAGCAAGTGGCATATGCTCTCCGAGGACTGGAAGAATCTGCGGTGGGAGGCTTCCACTCAGAAGCGCGACATCAAGAAATTGCGAATGCACTGAAGTTCGCGTCACGCCGCCGCCACTGCCTCGCTCCGCCTTCGCCTCCCTCCGGGCGAAGGTGTGAACGAACCGAGCGCCCACGCCTCCGCACTCGCCGGTGAACCAACTCTCAGAGTGTAGACACAGAGCGAGAGAGGACAGAGAGCGGTGAGTTTGAGAGTAAAGTCCTGTAGAGAGCCTTGCGCTGCTGGCGCGGGGTGTGGGGGTGTCGCTCTAGTGTCACCCTCTAGTTTCATCACCACTCAAAACCGAGAGAGAGTTACACTCAAAACCGAGAGACGGAGGAGCCGAGAGACATGCCGAGAGAGTGACGCTGTGTGCAGGGGCGTGCACCGCGTCAGCTCCACTGACGGACGGCCTGGGCGGTGACGGGGTCCTTTCCCGCCTCGCGTATCATGCGGCCCATGGCGAAGACGGCGTCGGTGAGGCCCTGCACTCCCTCAAGCCCAACCTTGTAGAGCACGCACGGGTCCACCCCGCCCGGCCGCTGCGGCGGCGGCTGGAGCGGCGGCGGCGGCTGAGGCGCCACCACCGCGTACTCCACGGCGGCGCCAGACCTCCATTGGCCGACCCGCCGTGCGAGCCGCTTCTTTCTGGAGGGCGCGCCCTTCACCACCCCACCGCGCACGGCCACCGCCCTCCCCGCGGCCTTGGCTGCCGCTCCCGGCCTCTGCCGGCCAGGTTGCTGCTGCTGCGCCGCCTCCTCCTGCCTTGCGGCGCCCGCACCGTGCACCCTTGGCCGCGCACCCTTGGCCGCAGCGACGCGAGTCGCCTCCGACGGGACCTCTGCCCGACCGCCGTCGGGCGGGCGCGCAGGGGGTGCGACGCCGGCGCGTGCAGGGGGTCCGAACGCCCGCGCATAGGCCACCGCCGCCTCGACTGCGGTGTCAAAGGTCTGGCCCAGGACGTGATTGGCCCCGTTCACCGTGCGCTGCGCTCGGAAGCGGCCCTTGTCCATGTGCACGCCCTGGTAGCCCGTGGCGCTGCGGTCAGACAGATGCAGGCGCATGCCCTCCGCCTCTGCCACCACCGCTGGGGAATCGTACTCGCCGACCGACCGCGCGTAGGCCAACGCCGCCTCAACCGCGGTGCCAAAGACGCCCAAGATGACATTGCTTCTCCCTACAGTGCGCTGCGCTCGGAAGCGGCCATGGGAGCAGCTGACCACACCCTTGTAGCCGGTGGCGCTGCTGCTGGAGAGGTGCAGCTGCATGCCCTCCGCCTCCGTCGCCAGAGGCTCGGCCGCTACTCGAGCCTCCCGCCGGGCGGCCCCTACCGCGGCATCCGCGCTGGATGCCTCTTCCATCGTGAGGGAGCGCCTCTCTGGAGCGCCTCTCCGCGAACACTTTGCGATAATGGCGCCTCGGGTTCGGACTTTTGCGGGGTATGGTATGGTCAAAAAAAGTTGTCGCCGCCGCCCTCCACCTCACCGTCACCGCCGCCACCCTCCACCTCGCCGTTGCCGCCACCCTCCACCTCACCGTCGCCGCCGCCCTCCATCTCGCCGTCGCCGCCACCCTCCACGTCGCCGTCGCCGCCGCCGCCCTCCACCTCACCGTCGCCGCCACCCTCCACCTCACCGTCGCCGCCGCCGCCCTCCACCTCACCGTCGCCGCCGCCCTCCACGTCGCCGTCGCCGCCGCCGCCCTCCACCTCACCGTCGCCGCCGCCCTCCACCTCGCCGTCGCCGCCGCCCTCCACCTCACCGTCGCCGCCGCCGCCCTCCACCTCACCGTCGCCGCCGCCACCCTCCACGTCGCCGCCGCCGCCGCCGCCCTCCACCTCACCGTCGCCGCCGCCGCCCTCCACCTCACCGTCGCCGCCGCCACCCTCCGCTTTGCCCCGCTCCTCGCCGTCGGTGTGCTTCAATACCCCGTCGCCGCCGCTGGTGACGATGCCTCCAGCAAGTACTCTGTCCCCAGCTTTGATGGCCAGCGAGGCTCTTTCGTTGCGTGGTTTATGGCATTCAACGCCTTTGTCGCGTGGAAGGCAACCGACGCCTACGACCTCCTCGCCGACGACGCTACCGCGCCTGCCGTACCAGAGCCCGACAACGACGAGGACGGCAACGCTACAAACGCCGTCGCCATCGACGCAGCGCGGACTGCTCTTGCCGAATGGACAAAACAAAATATGCGTCTTTACGGCCTCCTCCTTCAGGCAGTCCCTGCGTGGATCAAAACCTCGCTCTACCACGATCACTCCGGAAACGGTGTCGCCGCACTCACCTACCTCCGCGCCACTTTTGATGCCGCCCGTGGCGATGGCTCCGATCACGCCGTGCACCTCAAGCGGATCGGAGAGTCCGTTATCGACCCACGCCATGACCTTTCTGAGCACGATCTGATGAATCAGTACAATCACCAGATGACGTCCAAGGCCGCCATCCAGCGCACCGGCAACACCGCTCCTACGATTGTGGACTGATCGATCGTCGGCGGGCGGATTTCGGCTGGGACGTTCTACGGTTAAACCAAGAGCGTCGGCGCCGACAAGAGAGACTTATAAGGGTAGATTCTTTTTGTTCTGGTGTACCTGTGTTATTAGTGCCAGTGCGCGCGCGCGCGCGGCCATGGACGGGAAATTCTTTTTGTTTGCCGGGCAAGTTCCTCGGCGCCGATCGACGTCTCTACTGCGCACTCTGCGCTCGAATGGTTGTCGCTCACGCCAGGGACGCCTCTCGCCTTCTTCGTGGAGCTGCGCTCGTGGGCCGCGAGGTGCTCCGGCTGGCCGAGTCGGGCCAGCTGGCACCCTTTCAGGCCGGATGGCACCCCAAGCACAGCCCGCCGTCGCCCTCAGTCACCTCACCGTCGTCGCCTGCCAGCGAGCCTC